AGTGAGTGAAAGAATCAGCTCTAGATTGCTCTTATAGGCTCTGAACAGTAATTCACTCACTCATTCATTCCTTCCACAAATATTTCTTGAGCCAGGTATGTGGGACACCATAATGAACTGAGTCGTGGACATAATGAAGCTTATATATAGTAGGAGAGCATTTAGTAGGGGAGATAGGCATTAATCAAATAAACACACAGACAAATACAAGGGGACAAATAAGTGTTATTGTGGAGGAGTGCACCATGCTACAGAGATTGTACAAACAGGGATTAGTGGACCTGGTTGGGGAAGTCAGAAAAGCTTCCCTGAGCAAGTAACAAGTGAGCTGAGATGTCAAGGATAAATAAGAGTTAACTAGGTCTGAGAGGAGAATAGGAGAGGGAAACATTCCTGGTGAAGAGAACAGTATGTGCCAAAGTCCTGGGGTAGGAGAGAAGATGTTGAACTGGCTCTGAATTAGAGGCAGAGAATGAGGCAGAAGCAATCAGTTTTGAGGCCTTGGCACAAGGTATCTCCTGTCTATACCCCTGTTTGCTTTCTAGCTGTCTGGAAAGTCTTCCTCATCATGGAGCAAGACTAAAGAACAATGTCAAAAACTAGGTGTATCCATGAGGCATGACACAACACCAGCTAAAAAAATAACACTTGTCAATATTACCCAGCCACTGTCTTAGCAGTCACCACAGTGAGGTAACACCGCTCACGCCCACTGACTCAACACTGCATCAGGAGAATGGCGCCCTATCAGATTTTTCAACTTTTCAGGTAGAGATGCATTTCAATCCCAGCAGATTTATAGTGTTGACGTATATGTTAATGATTCATTTAAATCTGTTTAGATACCTAACATTTTATTGTTAATTTTCATAGACCAAATTCTTTTAGTGGGGAGAAGCTACAGGGAAAAAATGGCTAAGGATGTTGCCCATGCTGCACTATTTTGCTTTGGCACGTCTGATAGCCAGTTAAATCCCAGGAGGCAGTTCCTTGTGGCTTAAAAATGATCTGCCACCTTAGAAAATAGTCCTGGAACTTTCCATGTGTAAAGCACTTTCAGTCAATCATTAATTTGGCCCCCCTATTCTGCTGAGAGGTTATGCTCATTCTACAGATAAAATGGACAGATAAGTTGAGTGGCCTAAGGACACAAAACAATTCAGCTTTTACTTATCTCTCTTATCACCCTCACCAAACAGGGCAGACACACAAGGCCTTTCCAACTCCAGCACCAATCCTTCTACCCTGCAGACCAGTCCTAACCCCTGGGAGCAGCAGAGGAAGGCACAGTAGTTTGTTTCCTATTACACGCTCTCAACAAACTCCTCTATGCAGAGTGCCTTCAAGGCCAACAATAATAATGACTATACTGTGATTGGGATATTGGCATTGCAGATCAGAATATGAACTCGGTAGTGCTCAAAGGGGAATAAGAGCACCTAGGAAGTCACAATGGCTCACAGGTTAGAATATCACCATCCCTAAGGAGACTGCACTCCCAACACACACTCCCCCAAGACTTCCTTTCACCCCTCCCCAATGGCCCAGACAGTGGTCTCTTCAGTACAATACCTCACAGTGCTGTAAATCATCTATATACATGCCCTTCTCCACCCGCAAGCTGGGACCTCCCAGCATTGAAGCACCTGGCACAGGACCCAGCACACAAAAAGTTTATGAGTCCATGGCTTCCCTCCACCAAATAAGGAAAATAGGTACTCCCTTCCCAGAGTAGTAGACTTAGAAACTGATTGGCCCAACTCCTCCTGCTTCAGAAGAGCAGAGAATCACCCAGTTACACATGGCCTGGTCTCCAATCAGGTCTTCTGGCCCAGTTTAGTTCCCCAAATATTTCATAAGCGCGCACTCTTTGTCAGACTTCGTGGGAGGTGCTGGGGATAGTGAGATGAGCAGGACATTGCTTCAGGACACTCACAGCCTGGGGAGGGGACAGAGTTACACTTGGGCAAGTGCAAGGACAGACGTTTGATTCCTTGGCCAGTGTTCTCTCTCTACACTGTCCACTGGATATTCCGTAACTGGGAAATAGGACAGCAATATCGACTTCCCGCAAATAAACTTATAGGGAACACGAGAAAACGTGTATGGAAAATTGTCAGGCTCACCCCCAAAGGCATTATGTAAGGTACTGCCATACCCTGACACCGACTCCAAGGATTCAACGTTTCAGATATCTGTTCGACAAAGAAGCAAACAAGGGAAGGATGGGCTTATTTCCAAGGAAAAACTCAAGGGCTGCTGGGGGGATGAAGGGGAGGTGAGGGCATGTGAAATACTTGGCCCTGGTGCGGGGAATGGGAGTCAGGCAGCCAGGGTGCAAGAGGCTGGAAGGGAGAAGGGAAATTGGGACACCAGTGAAGGAGGGCAAGCCGAGAGGAAAGGGGTTCCCCTCGGGGCGCGAGGTTCTAGATGACACGGGGGACCGGGGTGCTGAAGGCACCGGGCGCCGGAGGAGGAAGCGGGCCGCCGCCGAGGCTGACAGGTTTCCCGGTGAGTCGCGCGCATCCGCACAGAGTCTCAGGCAGGCGCCCGGGGCCGCAGCTGCCCCGCCGCCCGCTGCACTATCGTGCGGGCCGCGCCTCTCCGGAGCGGAGCCTGCGGCGCCTCACCTCGGGTTGAAGTCCTGGAAGAGGCCCCTCAGGTTCATGGCGGAGAACTTCACCGCGGCGGCCTCCTCCTCCCCCCGCCCACCGCGCCGCGCAGTCTGCGCGTTACAGCGAGTTCATGGTGCCCGCGCCAGCCGCGTCCCCGCCGCCGCCGCCGCCGCCGTCACCGCCGCCGCCGCGAGAAACCTGAGCCACCGCCTCTCGCCCCCCCTCCCCTTCCGGGCTTCCGTAAGGCGGCCACGCATGCGCCTGGCAGGCCCTGGGAAGCGTCGTGGGTCGCGCGGGTCGTGCGGGTCGCGCGTGACGCCACTCCCCAGCCCTTCGTCCCTGCACTGCCCTCGGAGGAGATGGACACGGGCTGGAGGCTGTGAGGGGCCAGGGTCGCAGAGCCGAATGGGGACGCTGACTAGGTGCAGGCCTGCGGGGAGGGAGCGGGCCGCCCAGGAGGCCTGCGGTGAGGTCTTCCAGGACGCCTCTCACCTTGGCCCGTGCAGCCTTCTGTAGGTTTCCCTTAATGATCGCAGAGCCTCGGGGGCGCGGGGCGGGTAGGTGATACGTTGGCCAGGGGTGATACATTGCATTTTGGCGATTTCATTCCAGGTTTCACCTGTCAGAGCCGTCAGTGACTCCAAAGTCTGTTTTTCAACTTCTCTCCCAAGGCCCAGTGCACCTCAAGGAGATACGCTGCCCTTCCAAACTCAGGTTCTCCTGCACCAAAGTCATCTTCCCTCCCAACCATCTTCCCCTCCTGGTTGCCTCTCCTTTGACTACAGACCTATTCACTGGCCAGGGCGGTGGGGGAGGGGAGTCACAGCATGTGATCTAGTATACCTTCTCAACTTTGGGCTGATTTAAGAGTTTTCTATAAATACAGCAATACTTTAGACATTAGTCTGGTATCATGGATAACTGTTACAATGGCAGAGTTTCATGAATGGCAATTTTATATGAGTTAGCCCTGAGGGGGGTAACTTGAGAAGATCACAATTATTACAGTTCATACTATACCATAAAAGATTACCTTTCTTCTGAGAACTTGAAAGCATTTCACAAGTGGTAATTAGGCTTCCCAAACCCACTGAGGAATGGATATTATTATATGACCTGTTTTTGAGGATGACTAACCTGAATCAAGTTTGTCAGCTGCCCAAGAACCAGGACCCTGTCTCAGAAATTTTGGTCCAACTCCCCTGCCCATCCTCCATGTGGAGTCCAGTGTCTACCCCTGAGGAGGTTCCTAATGAACATTTGAATACAGGAGCTAAAGCCAAGACACAGAGAAGCTTGTAGGAAATTCCCTGGGCCACCAGCTAGTAAGGATGTCAGAGCAACGATGCAACTTGGTCTGGTTGAACCTGCAGCCCACATTCTGCTAGAAAGAGGGACTTGCCAGTAGTTAGATAGGCCAGCACCATCTTAATTGCAGGCAGCCTCACTCCAGAAAGACATTAAGGAGTGAGATTGTTCATCTGCTAGGACACTTAAGTAATGGGCACTGTTGCCCTTTCAAGAGCTTCACAGATAGAGACCAGGCAGGCTGCTTGGAGTACAGAGGCTCGAGGGCAGGTAGCTTTTAGTGACGTCCCAGAAAGTCCCGGAGTTGAACCTCTGCTCTGCAGGCCCACAGTTGGCCCAGAGATGACCGGTCTGGGGGCTGCCCAGCCCAGGGAATAGGACACAGATACACAACAACCTGCCAATGTATTCCTTTGCTCTGGCAAGCCAGATTGCCAAGGGGAGCACACAGGCCTGTCCATGAGGGTATATGAGAGCAATGGGACTACCCCAAGGCCTCACATCCCAATCTTCAGAAGTAGATGTACATAGACTGCTTCAATTTCACTGAAGGCACAGCCCAGTAATCTGGTGCTCTCATGGAAAGCAAGGTTGTCCTGTGGCTCACTCTCATGGGCAGGCTGGACATCAGGCATGTAACCAGCCAGTACTTCACAGCATAGTGCCCATGGGGTTGGTAACTGTCATACATCCACGTGAGGATGAGGTCCATGGGGCCCTTTTGGACAGAACATCTGTCTTGAGTGCAGGACAAACATGGCTTTGCCACTGATTATGTCTTGTGAACATTCCTTGGTGTCACACCCTTCATCCTGCCACCAACCTATCTTTATGCCTGGTCCCAGCTCAGGGACCAAGGACAGGTGGAGACCCACAACCAATTACTTGCTCCTGAAGGTCTCAGGATAGCCGCCAGGGATATTTGCCACAGAAGAAGGCCGGCGGGAGGCAGGCAGAAGGTCAGTGCTTTACCAAGGAGGCTGGAGTTCAGAGCAGGCTGTAGACCTGGCAGGGGAATAGGAGCTTTTCAAAGGAGCATGACTGTGGCTGAGACACATCATATCAGCCACTCAGGGGGCAGGCTCAGGGCACCTAGAGAATGTCAGAACCTTCCTGCTGTTGGGCAGGGTGGCTCCTATGTGCTCTGCCCCACCCTGGTCAGGAGTGGCTAGGGACCTGGGTGGTGTTTGCCTACACAGAGGTTGCTTTACATGATGCCACACCCTGGAAATGCCTCCCTGAAGGACCTGAGGGATGCTTGGGAAGTCACAGTTGCAGCCACTCTGCAGTCCATAACCTACTTAGGTGAGCCTGGCCCACACCAGTCAGTTCCCTCCAAAACTGGGCCTGCAGTATCCCTACTTCCAACCTGCAATGCCCCACAGGGTTTCTGGTCCAGGGACTTGTCCCAGGAGCACCCATTTCATGATGTGGTCCAGGGCTCTAGCTCACCTCCAGCTGCATCTACCTCCATGTCCCTCCCCATGCCAACCCAGGGCAATCCAGATAGGATCTGGCAGGTGCTTGATCTTCTGCCTTTCCTGGGACATCTGACCCCCTTCACAACCTGCATCCTGGGACCTCAAAGCCTTCACCTGCCCATGTCCTCTCCAAATCTTTAGTTGAGTCTGGGGGTGTCTAGGGCCTGAGAGAGCATCCTGATGACCACCTCTGTTATCTGCTACAGCATTTTGTCTGCTCAGACTGCCTGTTTGGGATTCAAAGTTCCCAGCCAGTTCTGTAGACAGCTGACAAGACACCCCTGCCCTGCTCTCTGCCTCTGCCCCACACAGCAAAACCTCATAGTCACCTGAACAAGGCCATCAGTTCAATCAAACGTTTGGGCGTCGCAAAGGGAATTATTTGAAAATAACTCATATTCACAGTGATTAGTCACACATACACATGGCAATGATTATTATTTACTAGGCACTAGGAGACTAAGCAAGAAGATACATCGCATTCTGTCAACTCTGCCTGAACCACACTGTCCTGAAAGGGAATTTCCTTCTGGGGACTGTCAAGTGAATATAATTGCACATGAACATCAGCACCAGGGTCTGAGCGGTTGTTCATGGGGACACATGCGGGACGAAGCCCCAATTTATGCAGACTGAGGCCAGTGTGGAGAGAGAGCATGCAGTGTGGGCAGCAGTGATAATGGGGGCACCAGTAGGAGGACACCTCCTTTCCAACATGGCCAGCTGGCTGCTGGCCTCCTCATCATGACTCATCACAGCACTGAGGACATTAATGGAAGCAGCACAGGAGCCTAGGGTGCAAAGGGCATGCAGGAGTTCTTGCAGCCAGCTCTCTGCGGGCCAGCTCCACTTTCAAACACTGCCAACCCTGCCCAGGGCCTTAAGGGCACACAATCTGGCATCTCACATCTAAGGGGCAAATGTGCATGATTTAAGTCCCTGGGTGATGACACAGAGTGCTCTGTGTCTGCGTTGTCATGGCTTGAGAATGAATCCATGGACCCTGTGGTGCCTTCTATAGAAATGGCTGTGACAAACAATGCTTCTACTCAAACATCGGTGGCAATGGGTCATGACACAACCCTTCCTAAGTATAAGAGGATGGAATGTAGTGTTCCCATTTATCCAGGGAGGAGAGGAAGACGACTTCATGCCTCTCCAATCGAAAGTTGCATAGTAGATGCTCATCAAATAGCTGCTATAATTTATGACAAAATCCCCTTCATTTCTGGCAGGAGTTTCTCAGAAAATCACATTTCCCTTGAAATTCAATACCTTTTTCCAGTGCCCCCCTACTTTTTGGCAGGTACTTCAAGTCCAGGGTCACATCTAATTTTCAAATTGTTTTATACATCTCAGCACGGAGGGAGCACCCTCTTCACTCTAGAGGACCTTTCTGCCTCTAAAATTTCATGGGGCTATGAGTTTTCTCCTTCCTTTTGATTCAAGGCCACTATGTTCACCTGTGAGTCTCTGCACCTTCTGCATTTCTGAATGTGCAGAGACACTGGGACAGGTGATACTAGTTACATGGCAATCCAGGACTTCCCTGTAGGAAGGTACACTGACAGGACATTGTGGAAGGATGATTCTTTTTCTTTTCTTTTCTTTTCTTTTTTATAAATCAGATCTAGCATGTCCACCAAAGAACGATTTTTCACTTCCTAGGAGGTCTCAGGGTATTTGAAATTCGGGTTCAGTAAATGTTTTCTCCACAATGATTTTCATATCATTCCTTACCTATAACTCATGAGGGAGCCTTTGCTTTATGACAGCCTAGGGAAGCTAATCTATCTGTGTATGTGTCTAGAGGCCATTTTCAAATAAAATACCACATTAAAATCCTACTGCAAATGTCTGGATGATTTCCAAAACCCTCTCCCTAACTTTACAACCCCAAAACAACAATGAGTAGATTATAGGCCAAATCAGATTCTATTCACCATCCACTGGAAAAATTGGTATTTCGATACTCTAGTGGACACAGGTGTCTAAAAGTCACTGTCCAATGTGACCTTTTATATCAAAGGAAGTGTTTTCATAGAGAGCTTCCAGGGTTAGTAATAGGATAGCAAGGGGACTTCTATAGAGAAAAGGCATGCTCTCTGTCATGGGGAGGACAGGTGTTTTAGAGCTGTTCCACTGGGAGAAGGGCACACTGTCATTCTATGTGCAGGTATGTCTCACTTACCCTAGTGTCCCCTCTACTAACTCAGGGCCTTCCAGAGGACAGAGGCCCAGAAGAAGCAGCAGCTATCAGGCCAGGTTCAGGAGTTGGACAGGAGAGTACAGGAATGAAGACCAGGGAAAGGGTGCTGTCAGGCGGGATAGTGCTGGGGCTGGTCAGAAATGCCAGTACCTGGGCAGAGTCAGCTCTGAGGAAACCCTAGGGCTCTGGCAAGAGGACCTGAGATGAAGAAAAGACACGGACTATACATACATCCTGTTTGATTCACATTCTCACCTTTCTACCTTAGGGCTGCTTTTAGTAATCTGAAAATGGAGACCTGACTTTTTGTCTCTTAAGAGATATTATGGAGTGGTGAGACACAGAAGACCAGGAACAGTGGGGCTGAAGATAAGTTCAGAGCAGACTTCTCTTTTACTAGCCTTATGATCTTGGGAAAATTAGCAAGCACTATGAGCCTTAGGTTTTTCATCTGCAAAGTGGGTTTGATAAACTTTTTGTAGGACTATTGGAATGTAGGCGATATATTAAAATGCATCACAACATGCCTGGCATATATTGGATCTTTAATGATAGGTAGTCATTTTTAGTATTATGTTGACCCTAGATCCCACCACTCCTTCCTCTGGAATTTTTTTTCCTATGATATATCAGAGAAGTTGGGCAATTTCTCTCTTAGAGGCTAAATTATTTGATTTGGCTATGAGGTCTTCCCAGCAAGGTAGAACTAAAAACACCCCAGAATTCAAGTCAAAGACCAACTCTATTTTCCCCATTTGCAGCTTCTCTACCATCCAAAACACTACTTTCATGCATTTCATCTCCATGGAAATAAGGTCCTTGCTTAGAATTGGACAATGACACTCAATGTAGGCTAAATAAATTGTCATTTTAGTGGAGGTTGTTCTGGCTTTTCCAGGACAAATAGAAGACTGTCCAGTGACATCATGATTTCAAGGACCAAGACCCTGATTCATCAGGAAATACTTGAAGATAATAGGGATAAAACATCTTGTTCTCTGTATTCGAATACACTGGGAAAAAAGTGCAGGACATCTTCACTATGACTAGCTGGAGATTCTCCATGATCCAAAGGGAACTTCTTAAAGCAATTTTCCATTTCAGACATTACTCTGATATCCAAGACACACCATCTTCCCAGTCTGGCAAGGTCACTCCCTGCTTCATTATAATCAATCCCTGCAGAGGAAATCACAGTTTCCCAAAGCCCCAAACAGCCTGGACTCAGGCTATTTATTTATTAAATTATTGATTTATTTATTTTAGGTGAGACAACCATTGGTTGACCTCACAGATTGCAAGGACCTTGCCAGTTTACAATCTTTTATTTTTTATTTTTTATGCCTACATCACCTGGTCTTCCTAGGCGGTCTCCCATCTAAGTACTAACCAGGCCCAACCCTGCTTAGCTTCCAAGATCAGACGGGATTGGACTTGATAAGGGTGGCATGGCTGTAGACAGACTCGGGCTATTTAAAATCGACTACTCTCCCCTGGAGGCCTACCTCATCTCCCCTTCTTTGACTTGTTCTAGAGGACTTAGGGGACACCTCAGCACCTTCCTTATATGACTGCGGGCCCTACACAATCGCTCTGTGCGTGGGTCTCTCCGGCTTATCCTAGTCTCCCCACCACCAGCACAGGGCCTTCCAGAGGACAGGGGCTCAGTGAAAGTGTGGGGAATAAATGAACCTCTGAGCCAGCGTCTTCTCTATTCCCATGAAATGCCTCCCACTTTCTCGAATGAACCAAGCAAATCCAGGTATATATAAATGTTTCATGGAATGACAAATGAGAAAGAATAAAATACAGGAATTAACATTTTATTTCTGTACTTCTTGACCACCTTGGATTTACTGGTGAGTTCTTTCACATTTCTATGGAAATCGTGTTCCAATGTCATGTGATCTAGCTCAGGATCACACACTAGGATGGAAGGTGTCCCAAACTGTGTTACATAGTGGCAAAACTCTCACTCTTGGACAGGTTAGTGAAAATACATGTATGGTCAACGTCACGCACAAACTTAGATTCAGAAACTGTTTACAACAACTGTAGAAAGACCAACATTTGAAAAATTGATAAGGAAAACAAAGTTCAATTTCTAAATCATCACAGGACCCCAAAGATCCTACAATACCCCCCACCCCCCACCACTGGTCCTGGGACCAAACCTGAATAATGCCTGCTGCAAGTGTGGCTCAGGACATCTCTTCCTCATCATTCTCCGCCTCTTTGGATAGATTTAGGAAGAAACTGAGATCCTTGCTATTGACCCCAAGCAAATAATCCAGGAAATTGAACTTGGTGGTTTCAGCGTGGGCCCTGGGACCCCACAGGAACTCGTAGCGAGCAAGATCGCTGTTGGGCAACTGCCTGTACTCCACATACAGTTCCTGCACCCAAACACTGGTGATGAGCTCCCTGGGCTCCCCATAGATGCAATGCTCCCTCCCATCGTGCACCCCCATGCCATTCAGGGCTTTCCAGACTTCCTCCTCAGGGGCACAGTCGCCCTCCACAAGAATCACACACAAGAGCATGACCAGGAGGCTGGTGTTGGGCAAAACGGGCCCTTCACCCACCATCGCATCGTAGATGAAGCCCCCAGTGGCGACCAGGAAATAAACGCCATCGCTGGGGTCCACTTCCTCCACCTCAATGCCAAAGAGCAGCCTCAGGCACCGCGAGGCTCGGCTCAAGATCTCAGGGAAGTGGTCCTGGTGCTCCTTGTTGACGCGACTCAGCACTTCTGACTTGGTGGTCGGCTCCCTTGCACAATACTTCAGCAACAGGAACCTCACCAGGTCGAACACCTTGCAACGCAGTGCCTCTCTAAGAAAGGACTCAGCGTTTCCCGGGTCCTGCCCGGTGCTTGGCCCCTCCCCAACTTGGTTGCTGGAGTCCTGTTCCACGGATAGCCTCAGTCTAGGGGTCACCATGGCAGTTGGGAAGGGACAGGAACTCTGTGGCCTCTGGGAAGGAATAAGTGTCAAAGTGCCAGGCACCTCTTCCGGGGTATCAGATGTGGAGGAGTCAGAAGACAGGATATTTTCCTCCTCAGAAATAAAGAATAGCATCTCTGGCAGATTTTCAATCCCTAATGGGACCAGACGATCTTCCCCAAGCTTGAAGAGCTCATTCATTTTACTGAGAGGCATGGTGACTCTTAGGATAGCAACTGGAGTGTGGGCGGAAGGTAGATGGTATGGACCCACAGCTGGAGGAGAAAGAGAGTGTGAGAGATCTCACCTGAGAAATGCACCTCAGGCGGCTCTGAGGAAGGCGACTTACAGGTCTCCTCTTTAGGGTGCTCTCGGTCCTCACAGCACTCTCCTGTTTGGGCGTCCCGTCCGCTAAGAACCTGAAGCAACAGGTGAGACGGCTCCTCAGGGTGCAGCTGGCACAGTCCAACTCGTGGGCTGACAGTATAGTGGGTAGATTTGGGGACTGTCGGGTCTCTTTGTGGGGTGGGGAACCCACTGGGTACACATACAGGGCGGACAGCTCACCTTAATTCCTGGCACTGCCTGGCCTGCATCAGCTCTGCAACATGAGGACACGTACCTCAGACCAAGGCCTGCACCTACTGGATCCAGCAGCCCCTGCAAGACAAAACCAAGGGGGACATTAAAGTGCAGATGTCCAGCAAAGCCTGGAGCCCCAGTGCTGTCAGGAGAGGATTCCAGACTCTGGGAGATACCCTCTCTTCCAGGAAGGCGGGCCTCTCCTTGCTCGTTCAGGATGCCCATGTTTCCCCAACCAGGCCTGGCCTCCTGTCCCCTGCTCGCCTGAGGCAAAACATTGAACACTGATACACGTACCTCTGAGACTGAACGGAAGGAAGTGCAGGGCTTCACATCTGACTGCATGTGCCCAGAGCCTCCCAGGGGTCCACGAGGGGTCACTGAAGTGTCAGATCCATTTATCCTGGGACACATTCCCATAAGTCTCCTTGACCCCCTGCAAAACCTAGACAATGCTCTCCCTTTACTGAGCCCACACTGCTTAAAATAAGGCCTTCTCTCCATTAGACACCAGAAGAGGAACTGAGCGGAGCCGATCCACACAGATTCCCCACAGCTGACAGAGCAGGCAGGCCAGTCCTGGACTCCCAAGTGTTCTAGCTCTCCTCAGTGCTCACGTTGATTCCTACCAAGGCTTGGGATACTGCCCATGCTGACCTGACTCCAGGCCTCAGACCAGGGCCCTTCCCTCCCTGAGACCACCAATTTGGGACTGAGGAAGTGGTAGGCTTGACAGCACAGCCCAGGGTTTCCAGGGCTGATGGTCAGAGCAAGGCAGATTTCTCTGGGGCCCTCTCTTTGTTCTGCGGTGAACTCACTCATTCCTCAGGGTGATCACCTTGATTCATAGCAGGATCTGGGCCTCCTCTCTCTGTGGACCAGATGTGGCTTCCAAGGATAGGCTGACGTTCTCCTCACAGACCAAGGTCCTCACCTTCCTGAGAGCTCTGAGACAAAATGAGATGAAGCCGTAACTGCTCCCCCTTCCACTGCCCCAGGGTCACCCGGGACCAACAGCGGGCTGGCCCATCTTTTTTGGGGAAGAGACCCTTTACATTGTCCACCAGAGACTTGTCTCTATTCCTACCTGGTCCTGAACTGACCCCCTACTGACCTGATTTCACCCTGAGTTACTGTCCTTAATGACAAATCCTCACAGGATGCGTGTCACAAAGGCAAAGAGA